TATATGAGCAAGCTAAAAAATCTTAAAGGCTTGGACAAAAATTTCTTAATGTACGATCAAGTCAAATCGGCACAATTTAAATATCAGACGCATCTACAGCTATTTATACAAGTCGATTTTTGAATCTTTCAAAACTCTAACGAATATTACCTTGATATATTTGTAGAAATGCTTTAAAACTTAAATAAGAATGTTTGTAAAGATCTAAACGTGAAAGAAATAATTAAATCGGTAAATTCAAATAAATATGGATATTAATGGTATATTCAACAGAATTTTAACATCAATCTATTTCCATTCGGCAAATATTACCTTGATGAATTTGTCAAAGAGCCATACAACTTAAAATAAGAAGATTCGACGATGATCTAAAAAGTAGAATGATTTAAAGGAATAAGAATACAATAACAACATACAAGTATTTAAATACTGTAATCAATAATGACTTTAAATACAGAAAGCAGAATCCCAAAGAAGCGAAAGCCCAGGTTATTTCAGTGTCCAACGGCAAGAACCACGACAGACCAATGACGAATCTAACAAAGAAGCAAACAAATCGAACGCATGGCAGCATTCAGAAAAAATAATAGAAATTGTAAGTAACGATCTTTTCTGTTATATAGGCTATGATTTAACTTAATTTCGTATTACTAATCAAACCTTATATATGTTTGTTACATGGAATTTTCTATGCATGTCACGGGAAATCCCGTGACATGTCACACGGAAATCCCGTGACATGTCACACGAGAAATCCCGTGACATGTCACACGAAAATCCCGTGACTTATCACGGAAAATCCCGTGACATGTCACACGGAAATCCTGTGACATGTCACACGGAAAAAAGGCCCATTTCATTATGATCTGATTTCATTATGATCTGCCACAATAAATGGTATCTAGTCCGTTTGTTTAAAATATTTGCCCAACTTTTTTGACACCATCGAGCCATTCGTTACCATTCGGACTATACATGTAACCGAAATTGATTCGGCTTTTGTCGAAACTATTACGGCTTATGCCGTAATTAGTCTCGAATGAACAGAAATGGTTTCTATGAAACGAGGTAAAAATTTATTATTATCTTAGAAATCTTTACGCTTTCTTGCGCACTAAAGGTTTAGATTGTTTTGAAATTTGAGGTTTAGTTTAATATCAATATTTCAGAATTGTTTGGTTTGTTAAGTTTCAATCATTGTATGCACGTACGTACGTACAGTACGTGCGTATTATCAATCAATCAATTTATATAATATAATGGCTATCATCATATATCATGTGATATTCGAATTTTTTTGATGGCGGGCTAATAACGATAAATTTAAATTTTATTTATAAAACCTACATACGTGCGTACGGGCCATATCTATTTATGCTTACATGTTCTTAAACACTAGGGTTAAGGATCGATTTTCGAAACACAATGTTTTGACCAAATTAACCAATAAAAATCGGAATACAGTAATTCAGAATTTTTCATTAAGCCATACAAAGTTAATTGTTCTCATAACACTGTAACATAGAATTTATAAGTGGTCTTTCTTCCTAGCTTTTATGCTTTGTTATCTAAAGATATTGAAAACTACTTTTTTTTGTAAATTTCGAATACTCGCCCGGGTAAAATTTTTTTTTCTCGAAAACTTACAAAACTGCTCGTTCGGGTTACCAATTAACTTAATATGGCTTAACTAACAAAGCAAAAATTAGAGTTTTCCGAGTCATCACGTGTTCGGAAAACCGATCCTACTCTTTTTTTTAATTAGCCAATCATTGGCCCTGGTATAAAATAAGGTTCGACAAACTATTTTTAATCTCAACAGTTAATATCCAAATAAGGAATTTGTGACTAAAAATATCTGATTAACGTCATCTGCTTTTGGTTAGCCTTGTTTCCCACTCAAGCTTACACTCAAGCTGTAGGACAAGTCCCTAGCTAATTGAACCACTAAAATACCTTTAACCATCACCTTTTCCACTTATTTCTCTCTACTCAAAAACACTGTACAACGTTAATTTCTTGCGATCGCTTCGCTTTTTCTTGCGTTAATGGTGTTACGTTTTTTCATCACGCCCGAATTTAACTTTTATACCAGACTAACTATATAAGGTGTTCATCACTTACGACCACGCCTTTTACAAAACTCCTGATTTGAACAAATGGCCGATCAGAACGAAATTATTCCCGAGGAAGGTGGTGTGAATAAACAGGCTTTTACTTCATGCGCCAAGTGCGGACAAATGATTGTAGGACAGTTTGTGCGTGCATTGGCTGGAACTTACCATTTAGATTGCTTTAAATGTCAGGTATTAAAAAGTCATCGTTAAGCCTCACGTAATATGTTGTTATATATCGTATTAATGCTGTTTCAATATATTTAATATAGGATTGCGGAACTGTTGTAGCAGCTAAATTTTTTCCAATAGATGGTGCAGACGGAAAGCAACACCCTTTATGTGAACGTGATTATTTTCGGCGTCTCAATCTTATATGTGAAAAATGTGGCGGTGCTCTTAGAGGATCTTATATCACTGCACTTGAAAAAAAATTTCATATTGAACATTTTACATGCTCTGCGTGTCCAACGGTATTTGGACCTCAGGATTCCTATTACGAACACGATGGCCAAGTTTATTGCCATTATCATTATTCTACACGATTTGCTGTAAAATGTACTGGTTGTAAAACTGCTATTTTGAAACAATTTGTGGAAATTAATAGAAATAATATTGATGAGCACTGGCATCCAGAATGTTATATGATCCATAAAGTATGTAGATTCTTATATTTTTTTATTTTCTTTTATTTTTTATTATCATTACTGTTGTCATTTCATGTGCTTCATTTTTGGAAGAGTGCTATAATTATATAACCCTTTTTTGAGGGGTTTGCCTCTTCGGATTGATCGTACCATTTTTTTTTGATACTAACAACCATACACTTGTGAACCTGTCTGTGGCTTAGTTCTGGAACGTTAAATTGGCAGCACAAATAGATGATGAACCTGGTTCTTATGGTAATATTTTTTCTTTAGTTTACAGCAACCAATTTTAACTATTTAATAAGATTTATATTTTAAAAAATCAGACGTTCCTTCGTCAGCTGAGGGCATAACGCCTGAAAAATTAAAACAACAACAAAAAGCTATAGAAGAAAAAGTTTACAACATATGGACTGTACTTTCTGCATTCGAAGAAATGTCTGCCGCATGTATCTCTGATATGCTTCTTCACGTGTCAAATGGAGCTTACTTCGAAGGTGTAAAAATGATAGAGAGATTTATCAATCATGTCGATATTTTATTTTCTGCAATTGATGATTTAGAAGTTCAATTAATGCAAGCAAGTGGTCAAGGTATGTATATATTACCTTTGATTGTATTGTTTTTTTTTTTTTTTTGGTCTGTTACTATAATTGTATTGATAACTTAATAATATTAATTTAATTTTAGGTTTACAACATAATAGGGAGGCCAAAATGCTTTGCAAGAAAATTGTCAATTTTTTTTCATTATTGGCACATACTCAAGAAGCAGGTGTTAGAAAATTAGGCATCACACAGGAACTTCTAGCATTAGTAACAGGTTTAGCTCACTATTTGAAAATTCTAATTAGAATCGCACTTACTGGTGCCTTAAAATTGGTAAACTATCATTATATGTTGTTGGTTCTAATTATTTAAATCCAATAATAATTAATTTTGTATCCCTTTAAAATCAATAAAAGGAGCGAGACTTTAATAATCCATTGGCAATTGGTCAATTTTTAAATAAACTCGTCGAACTTACGAAAAAGGAAGGGAAGCAAGTTTTAGATTATTCAAATGTAGACAGTGAAATTACGTCCGATCTGTGTCATGTATGTCGAATCACTGTTGAAGAAGAATGTTACAAATATGGACATTATCGTTGGCATATTGGTTGCTTGAGATGTTCTGGTTGTTCTCGAGAGCTACGCACCATATATCGTGACGCTACATTTAACCAGATTACTGAGATGTCGTTCTGTCCTGCTCATACAAGTGAACCAGTTGCACCTGGGTATCAATATGTCACACAGTTAGAACAATACACATATTTGTTACGTATTGAATTATCTCGCATGTATAATTTATTGAAACGTAAAGGTAACAATTATAAGCCGTTTTTGTTTATATATTAGCACAGCAATTTTTTTTTTTTAAATTGTTATCCGATACATAATAATAATTTCTTATATTTTTACGTATATTTTTTACGCAAAGATGAGCATAGTCTATCGGATTACGATGAAGTTCGTAGTGGTCGGAAGGCTAACAAAGAAGAAGCTGGTCTTGTTCGTAAAGATTCACGATCAAAGTCCTATTCTAGTGGAGACAAAGATAAAGCATTTGTATCTATTAATACAAGTGATATAAAGCGTATGAAGTCTGTTATGGATCGTAAATTATCAAATTCTGCGAAATTTGCCAAGACTTCCAGGGTAATAGAGCAAGAACAACCCAATACTCCTCAAACTCAGGACGAAACTTCTAAGGATAAATTGGCTAGAGCACCTTCACAACATCATGTCAGAATTATTGATGATAAAATGCCTGATTCTCAGAACAGTGACGCTCGTATGAAATTTGACCTAGAGAATGAAGCAATTACATTAGCAGACATTTCAGCGATTGCAGCTGCGGAAATGTCAACAGAAGAAAAATCAGCGAAAAAATTACACCGAGTATCGCGTACTAAACTTTACTTGTCTGAACTTTCAGGCCTGGAGTATTTTATTGTAAGGCATGTAGCCGTCCTCATTCTGGAACAATACCTTAAAGATTTTTTCTCCTTGGATGAGTTATTAGACATAATTGGATCTAAGAAGACAACACTTTGGTCGAAATTTGTACAGCAGATTAGACCTAAAGAAGTGCCTGTAAAGAAAAAAGGTAGGAATTGGTATCATGTTTCAATTCTCTTTTTTTAATAATATCTGAGATTCCTTTATAGAATGGATAGCATTTATTTATTTTATAGTTTAAAATTAAAAATTTCGTACTTAATCAGTAATTAATATTTCGAATTATCTCAATAAATTTCTCAATAATAGGTACGTTCGGTGTACCCCTAGAAGTTCTAGTCGAGAGATATGGTGTAGACTCAGTACTTGGAGCAGGACCTGGTCGAATAAGGATTCCTAGTTTTGTAGACGACAGCATATCAGCTATGAAAACAATGGGTAATTGACACATTTCAATTTTTGAATAGTCTTATTCTTGTATATTATTAATTTGCTGAAAAATATTATAGATATGTCTGTCGAAGGCATATTCCGTAAAAATGGCAATATTCGACGTTTAAAGGATCTTAGTGAAGCCATTGATAAAAACCCTTCATCAGTTAATCTCGCTGAAGATAATCCAGTTCAGGTTGCCGCGTTAATGAAAAAGTTTCTTCGTGACTTACCTGATCCGCTTCTTACTTTCAAATTACACAAGCTTTTTATAGTAACACAAAGTATGCCTTGAATTTTGAACTATCTTATTAATGCAGTCAATTGTTGCATTACGTAAATGCCATTATTTAATACCTATGTAAAATATTTCAATACCATAATTCAGGACTAAGAAAAGAATCTGATCGAAGAAAGGTTCTTCATTTAACGTGTTGCCTACTACCTAAGGCTAATCGTGACACAATGGAGGTGCTTTTTATATTTTTCAAATGGGTAGCTTCCTTTTCTCATGTAGATGAGGAAACAGGCAGTAAGATGGATTTGCATAATCTTGCAACCGTGATTACTCCTAACATCTTATATTCAAAGTCAAAAGATCCTATCAAAGATGAATCATTTTTAGCGATTGAAGCAGTTCATAACTTGTTAAGGTATCAAGATGATTTCTGGGTGGTAAGTTTTATAATTAAAACATAGATATTCATCTGAGAAGAGAAAAAAAATGAATTATCGCTAAGAATACTAATTTATTATTATCGTTTTTACTAAAACAGGTTCCTGAAGACTTAGCTACAGTTTTACGCGATCAAGATCTAATCAATAATCTCGAGAGACTAACACCAAAAGACATTATGAAACGTTGCGAAAATCTTGTCAAATTAAACCACTCGCAATCTACGAATACTAATAATGACGATGATTCTAGTGAAGATTTTGTAAAAATTTCATCGGAGAATTTTTCGAATTATCCTTATCCAACACAGGTAGACCAAGGTGGGGAAAGCCGTGATGATTCGAATCTACATGCTTCTTCGTCATCTTTGGCTAATGAAGTTTCTATTCCGGTGGAGCAACGAGCATCTTGATAAGATGGGTTAAGCTCTTACTAGTAATGTATATTAATAAAAATTATTCTAGTTAGCTTTATTACTTCCTCTGTAATAAAGTAGGAAGTTAATATAAAAAAGTATCGACTTTTTTGTTTTCTATGTAGAATATTTTTAAATCTTTCAGATTGTTTTATATTTTATTATTTATTTCCTTGCGTTCAGCAGATGTCGTTATGTAAAAGACAACCAGGTCACCAGGGACGATGGTTAGTGAAGAGATGATGCCGAAAGCAATGAAACTTATGAACTCCGGAACTGGTTTCTGTCAACAAATATTGGCTTTTTTTTTTTTTTTTTTTTTTTTTATGGTAATGGGTTTAGGATTTTTTTTTTATACAACTTTATAATATACAGTATTTGTATGAATTATAGGTTTATTTTGTTTATACTATTTTTTTTTGTTTTGAAGTTATCACCTTATACATATTATACATTTTTATTATTACTTTTTTGTCTTTATATATTTGTATGAAAATATAAAATCAACATATATAAAATATTTATGTAATCAAAGCGCTTTGTGCGTGAACATGTATGAATTTTTGTTAAGAGATACTGAGAGATACTGTAACACTCAAGTAAAGGTACAAAAATGATTTACGTTACTATATAATTTTACAATAAAAATTTTGCCTAAAATCTTAGTCAAAATACATAGGCTTGCAAGATGTACGATAAATAAAAATATTTTAGCAACTACTATTTGAATACTACATATTTGTAAAATGGACAATTTTAACGCTCAGAGGTGGAATTCGCCGGTGCTGTATCTCAAAAACGTATTAAGTAATTAAAGTCAGTAAGTCTAAGTAAACATGTTCAGGACCTCACGAAACTGAAATCAGAACCTTATATCTATATAAACTTCTCTTTTATCCTAAACTGTACCTTAACCCTTAGGATGGTGAATTTTACCACCGGTTAAATAAAATTTATAAAATCTTTTTTTATTAAATTTAACTTAGAGCTAAAATATTAAACATTTTTTGAATTGATAATTGTTAAAAATTTTTTTTTTTTTTTAGTCATGTTATAACTATAGAATAAACAATTTTTACAACTATAAGATCTATATACAGCATTGCTGTTTAACTAAAGTGTGGCTCACCTGGTTGCTATTTGGTACCTATGATAGATATTGATGGCATGTTTTATATTTTTGATTGCCTTTTCATAAACACCTTTTTTTATACTTGCAAATATATTAAATTTGAACTTTTTTTTTTTTTAATGTTAATGGTGAGACCTTGCTTAAATTTGAACCTTTATACAAATAGATAATAATAATAACTGGGAAATTATGAAAGAAAAAGCAAAAAAAATAGAAAAAATGTTGAAAAATAAAATACATCTTAAGTGCAGTAATTCAAAGAAATTTGACAAAGAGAAAATGATTCAAACTATTTTTGATAAGGCTGTTTGGCAACTTTTAAAATATATTAATAATCTGAAAGAAAATAATTATAAAACATCTGCATTCATAATAATATCTGTAGGTTTTAAAAAATTAATTTGAAAAAAAAGTTAATTAGCAATAGGTTCAGAGTTATATGATTTAGTATAAATATCTGTTGTGCACAAAGGCTAAATAGTTTTGTTAAATGTTTTTTATTAAAATCAATGCTTTGTAAATACACCCTCTTGGAATCATAGACAATATTTTCAAAAATATATATTTAGAGAGTGTGTGCATTTATAAAAAGCATTTTATTAAAAGTTCTATATGTTTGGAATTAAATATTAGTGTTCTTTTAGAGAGAGAGTATATGTAATGCATGTATTTATAAGAGTGTATCTATAGAGGGTTAACAGGCCCCCGAATAATCTATATATAGCTTATATTTGGCTATCATAGTAACTTTTTTTTTTGTTAGCAATTTTATATTGGTATATATTATTTATATTTTAAATATTAGATCGGAATTTTAGACATTGTTATCAATTTTTAAAATATAAGATTCTTTAAAAAAAATTTGAAGTGTCTTTCTCTAAAAAAAAAAACTAAAGTGTTCTCTCTTTAAAAAAAAAAAAAAAAAAAAAAAAAAAAAAAAAAAGAAAATAATA